CAAAATTGCTATTTTTGAAATTTGGCCACGTGGCGCAGAAATAGGAGGTCTTTAGACCGAGCCAACCATAGAAAGATTAATGGATGTAGAAATACCAGTGGTGTGAAAAACTCATTGAAATACAGAAAATTTCTTTCTTTATCATAATACTTCTATCTATTGAAAAAATAAAGATTCTATCATTTCCCGATTAAAAGCTTATAATAATTTTATAAATGTAACAATTTCCAGAAGTCTTAGTAATTGAAAGTTTGTAATACTAATAAAACGCTAATAAAATATATATACTGTTTTCAAACCACTACTCCTTTTCCGTTTTCAAAGATAGGAATACTAAATTTGCATGAAGTTAGCATATATATTTATAGTTTAGAGCTATGGAAAGCTTTAATGGCTATAAAAAACTGATGATGTAAAAAACTCATTTGAAATATAAAAACTTTTTTTTATTGTAATACTTCAACTTCTGAAAAAAATATGTGAAATAAACATGCTCTCTTCATAACACTGTTCTAGAAATTCTTCTTGACTAAAAAACCTCAGGTATTTTTACGAATAGAACGATTTCCAAAAGCCTTAGCAATTGAGAATCCTAATAAAACCGTTTCATATAATAAGTTTTCGTTGCACCAGGAGCAAGAATTACATGTAGAGCATGATTGATGTTAGATTGATAAAATAATTTAATTTAATGGATTTACTTAATTTAATATTAGTAGATTTAAAAGTGAGTATGAGAATAGTAATTAATTAATATTGAATCAATATACATAATAAATCGATGCATTCAATTTCGAACAGCTTCAAAATTTACATTTCAAAATTTTGGTTTCATCAAACATATCAAAAAGAAATTCTTTGTCATCCAATTTCCCATTTTTTTATCAATCAATACTGTACTGAGAAAAACCATCCATTTGCTTAATATATGTTGCGAGTTCATGGGGATTCTTTAAATATTTTAGCTTTTAATTATGAACAAATATAGGCTCTAGTAGCTGTCTTGAATGAATATAATAGACTGCTTAGAGTTCGTGATTACAGTATTCTAAAAATATCATTTAAATAATAATATCAACAATATAATAAATAAACAAAGCACCTTTTATTATTATGTGGACTACCATGATTATGGTGAAAACTCTTGTTTATAATTCAATTGGAAAGTTTGGAATTGATACGACTACATAGGTTATGAACGATAATGAAATTATACATTTTACTAATAAATCAAAGACAAATTAATTAGTCGGAAAATAATATAAAGTTGATGGTTAGATTCTATTAGAGAATTCTCATCAGAATGATGTTAAACCACACTGGCACAAATTCAACAATGTTGTACTCATTCATTATACGCGACCTTATGGAATAAAAGAATTTAATAATCACAAATGGCGTGGCTTTAATACAATAATAATAGAAGAAAATGAAAAAAATATATCAAAATATTATTTTTCTGAAACAAGATTAAAAATTTTACTATTTTTCAAAACATAATTATGATTTAACTTTAAATAAGATAAAATAAAAAAAAATAAATCTTCAATTATAATAAATTAATTTATAGCTGAGGTTAAATTAGTCATCAATCAGCCTCCTTAATCTTTTCATTATCATTACTACTAGAATCTAATGTTCATTAATTAATTGAATCGGAATAAAATTATTGTTAGTAATAATCAGTGGAAATTAATTAGTAACAAGCTTATTAATCGTTTTAATAAAAAATAACTACCATGCTTATTATTGTTAGCTGTAAAAATCACATTAAAAAATGAAGTATCCAAGAATTTTCTTTGAATTTCAGCATTTGACATTAACAGCTTTAACTGTTCATCATTTGTGATTTTTGGTTGTTTTTTCGAACTATTTTTCAAACTTTCCCATTTATCTTTCAAAAATTTCTAACAAACTTTTCCAACTATCTTCCAACTTTTCGAATTTTTCTGACTATCAATATTACTATTACTATCATTATTACTATTACTATCACTTTTACAACAATTTTTCAAACTTTCCCAACCCCTTTTCAAATTATCTACCCAATACCATGGATACACTGCAATTTTTCTTGCAAACCCCCACGTATCCAAACTGCTGGATCCAAATAAGCACACAAGAATGGCGCCAATGACACCTATCGGTTACCAAAAAAAAAAAAAGAAAGATTTATACAGCTTCTAACTTGTTAAGCTATGCGAATTAAATTTACTAACCAAAGGCACCACCAGCTGATGCAATGGTACTTAGAATAGTGGTTGTGCTATATTATGGTTCATAAATAAG